GCAGAGAAAGATGGTCTGACAGACCCAGGTGGAGGTAGGCCTGAGCCTCACATGCGTGTGCTATTTTGGTCCGGTGTTTTTTTTCCCCTTGTAGCACATTTCACATTACAATGGAATTTGTGGATTGTTTTCAGGTCAGCATGGTTACAGTCTCCAGCTGCAATAAAAACACTGTCCGAATGAGCTGCTAGACTGCTGTTTGTGCTGTCGTGAACCTGTGCTAGCACTAGCTTAGCATCAGCGTCTGGTGGAATGTAAACAGCACAGACGTAAATTAGGGCCTGACAGATTTATCGGCGTGCCAATTAAATCAGCCAATTTTAGCCCGTTTCAGACTAATCTGTAATCGGCCAAAACTTGCCAATTTTTGCTAATATTTTCAAAAATAAAATGTGGAGACTAAGATTCGGTTTCACTTTGAAAATGTTCCGCCATTTGAAAAGATCCCCAGACTTATCCTGTAGATGGTGCAGCAACCTCTTGACAATCTTCATCCACTAACTACCTCACAGCACAGCAGAGTGACAGATCTGAAGCAGGCAGCTCAGGGACACACGGAGGAGAGTGGTCCACCTCAGTGGTAAATAAACCAGTTTGTGAAATACACAATAAGTCAGTTCAACCCACTTCACGATGTTCCCCGCTGTGCTGGTCTCAGTCATGCCGTGTAAGATGCAAGCTAAAGTTAGAGTTAGCCATCTGCTTTTAGCCTTGCTACACAGTAAGCCGTGCCAGTAACGGTAGAATAAACAACAGTACACATTACGTGATTACTTCTCTTACTGAGGCAGCTGCATGTCTCCAGTTGAGACCGGACCGGAAATGAGTCACCTGAGTTAAGACGCAGAGACACCGATCGGCGAGGGGGGGGGTTGAAAACACTTTTCTGGTCTCAGTTGATCAGTCGGTCTTCCTGTCGGCGTGAAGAGCAGTAGCCTACAGTATATCTACAGTATACTGTATACTGTAGATATCTACAGTATACAGTATACTGTAGATATCTACAGTATATTTATTTTCTATATTTTTTTTCTAACTTTCTAAAAAATCAGTAATCTGTTCTCGTTGACCTAAAGAAAAGTCCATGTAAGGTCATAACAAAGCACAACATATTTTGAGAGCCCGAGTGATGTTAAACATGGGTACAAGGTCCTTGTTGAGGATAGTTGTCGGAGGCCCATGGCTCCAGAGATCTAGCACCAAAGTATCTGAGGTATTTGAGTGACACAGCTCCACCACCCTAAAGGCTGACATGACTGGCTAAAGAAAATCACCCTAACAATAATTGAAGGAGTTCAGAGTGGCTGTATTGGAGTGCCACTGTCCCGTGTAGAATAATACCCAGTGCCACCAATAAGGTGCGAAAACTATGCCAGTTGTGATAGCTCCTAGCCACAGCATCTGTGTGCGCCACCATCATCACATCACATGATTGTTCTGTGTATGTAGTGTAAGGTTGGACCATAGACTCTATATAGAATGGTTGCTGTCTGCCTCCTCACTGGGTGAAGCCACCCTGAGAACAGCACCCTCTGGTGACGGGCTGCAGTAAAGGTCAGAAATCCCGCCTTCCCTAGCAGAGCTTGTGGGGCTGTGGACAAACTATAAATTAATTACACAGAACATACATTTTTTTCTCCCCTGCTTGCCATGTTCACATGTAGTTATTGTAAGACTGGTTTGTGCTCAAGTCCTCTTTTTTCTGTGAAGCTCAGTTTCTAAAAGTTATTAGGGGGTTCATATTTTCTATGATTGACACCTGATACAGCCTATGGGTGTACAAAGATTGCGTAGCTTACCAGAGGAATACACTGTTTGAGCAGACCTCTATCACAGCGACTCTTGGCGACTCTCCCCCCAAGAGTCCCGCCAATGCACACAGTGCTACTGTGCAAGTGATGGAGTGCATACAACGCTACTGCGCAATGTTGGTTTCAGGAAATGGAGAGAAGACGCAGAATTACAGAGAGCTTTTGGGCTTCAAATCCTTATATTGGCGGAAGGCAGAACCAAGTTGTTCATAGTGTCATCAAAAAGGCTTTTTATCACCTTAAGATTATCTCCAGAGTCCGCCAGTTTCTCTCTCAAGCCAATGCAGAGACTCTTATCCATGCATTTATTACCTGCAGAATTGATAATTGCAATGCTCTCCTCTCTGGTCTTCCTAAAAAGAACATTTCACAGCTTTAGCTGCCGCAAAATTCGGCTGCACGCATGCTGACAAAGACCAGGAGAAGAGCCCACATTACACCAATTTTGAAGTTTCTGCATTGGCTTCCTGTATCTTTTAGAATAGATTTTAAGGCTCTTTTTTTAGTTTATAAATGTCTTAATGGTCTTGGTACTTCTTATTTATCTGATTTGCTTTTACAATATGAGCCCAGTAGAGCCCTAAGGTCTTCAGGTAGTGGTCTTTTAATAGTCCCCAAAGGTAGAACCAAAACATATGGTGAGGCATTGTTTAATTATTATGGCCCCCGTCTGTGGAACAGTCTGCCTGAAGACCTGAGAGCAACAACTACAGTTCATGTTTTTGGCTTTTAGCTGATTTTTGTTTTATTCTTTTAGCCTCTCTTTTAGTCTACTCTTTTCATCTTATGTATTTTACTCCACTTTGGTTCTAGAATTATTATCTTATATTTTAACACTATTTGTTTATTTTCTTTTATCTGTTTTCTTTTTTAAAACAGTTTATTATATGATATTTTATTATTATTAATATTAGTAGTAGTAGTAGTAGTATTGTTTTATTTCCTTTTATTTTTTATATCTTGTCATGGTTTTATCAGTTTAGCTTCAGCTCCAGTGTTTCCCTATTGTACTTTAAGATAGCGTTTCCTAGGTCCTCTGTGGCTTCCTGTTGAGCCCTGACTTGGTGTCCCGGTGGCTGTGTGTGTGTGTGTGTGTGTGTGTGTGTGTGTGTGTGTGTGTGTGTGTGTGTGTGTGTGTGTGTGTGTGTCTGGGGGGGGGGGGGTCTCTGTTAAATGCAGGCTTGGAGGGTGGGGGATGGGGTTTTGCAGTTTGTATTTTATTTTGTTTTTTATTTTGTATTCCCTGATCCTCTCCTTCTTGTGTACAGCACTTTGTGAGTCGACGAAGTTTGTGTATGAAAAGTGCTTTATAAATAAAGTAATTGATTGATTGATTGATTGATTGATGGATTGGTTGATTAAAAATACAGTCTATGGGTTGGACCCACTGGTGAGACAAACATTCTTTTCCACAAAAAAAAAAAAAACACTCACATCAACTTACATATTTAAACCCCACGTGACAAAGGTGGGTTGTGCGCAAAGATCACAACATAAACAAATGCCAATAATAGCATTAAAATCGGAACCCTTCACGCAACTGAATATTAAAATATTCTTATGTAGGCCTAACTCCGGATTAAATATTCACAAAATTAAGGATGTAAAAACAAAAATAAACAGGTTATTTTGAATGAAAATGTCATTATTGTTTTGTTCAAATTTTCCAAGTAAATAACTCATCTGATCACTAAATTAATCATCTCGTCAGCCTTGGTGGCCTTGCCGCAGCAGCAGCAGCAGGACAGGTAGAGGACACGGAGACGTGTCCGGGTTTAGCTGCACAAGAATGAGGAAGAGGAGGTGGATTAAATACCTTTTTAACTCCATCATGTGTGACTATTTATTGGATATTAATTTAATGTGGTTTCAGCTGTGCTAATTATAATGATCAGGTTGAGTGTTTAAACATGTGCCAAACGTGCTCATCAGATAAGATATACGTCAGAATATACTGCTTTAGATCTAAATGTATGTGCTAGCTCAGATAGTTGCACTGAGTATTGGTTGTTGTTGATTAGTTATTGCAAAGAAATGTGCCTGACACTGTGGAAACTTGCCGGTGAGGCATCAGTGATGTGTGGGCACTGCTGTGCCGGGCTACCAAAATACTGTCTCTGTGTGAGACAGAGAGAGAGAGAGACAAAGAGATAGACAAAATGAGAGCAGGTAAATATTTTTTTCTAACCTAGGAACATTTTGAGACTCCACCCTCTGAGGCCTCAAATTAATGAAATAATAAAAATTACAAAAGGGAAATCTGGATATTCCCATCATTTCAAACAGGACTGATATTTCTGAATGTTGGAAATTGATAAAACGTGAGAAAAAAAAAACAGATGTTGGATCATGTATAGATTTTAGCAAAGTAGGCAAAGGCCATTTAAGGGCGCCTAAGACAAAGCCTTGGTATAAAGTAACTTTAAGCTTTTCTTACCAAAGTTTCCACAAAATAAAAAAACATTAACTACAAAAAAGACAAAGACTACAAAGCAACATTTAAAAACTACAGAAACTACAAAGAAACATAAAAAATACAACAAAAAAAGATCTACTAAAAACTTCAAAGAACTACAAAGCCTCAACAAAAAATGACAAAAAACTTTAAAGAACTACAAAGAAATGTAAAAAGTACAACAACTTCAAAGAACTTAAAAAGAACCATTAAAAACGACAAAGAACTACAAGTAAAATAAGACAAATCAAATAACACTGAACACTCAATATTAAACCGGTAAATTGTGTCCCTGCGGCCCCCCAGCCCACTGAGCAATAGACGGCTATTAGATGTCTATTTTTTTTTTAGACCAAATTTCAACCGTCCATTCTGTATATTTTTAGATGGAATTTAGACATTGCAATGTAACCCATTATTCGATAACTATTTATTTATCGAATATATATATTAGATCAGTTGTCTAGGCTACATTTAGACCTCTTTTAGACCCAAGAATGCTCAGTGGGAGGGTACGCCTTGGGGGCTGCAGGTTTCAGACTGAGAAACTCTGTCAACTGAGCAGCAGGAAGGAAAGACAGAGTTTGAAAACGGATCATTTCACTAAAGGGAGAGGCGATGAAACAACCATCATCATCATCATCAGTCACCCCCCCCCCCCCCCCACACACACACACACACACACACACACACACACACACACACACACCCCACCCCACCGTTTTTCCCCCGGTGATCTTTGACGTCAGTGGGGCTTTAAAAGACGTGTTCACGGGGGACAGAGTCAGAAGCTGCTGCGACCCTCCGACTCGGACAGACACAGACAAGTGATGAAGATGGTCTCCTCCTCGCGCCTCCGCTGCCTCCTCCTCCTCCTTCTCTCCCTCACTGCCTCCATCAGCGACTCCTCCGCCGCACAGAGAGACTCTAAACTCCGCCTGTTGCTGCACCGGACCCCGCCGCTGGTCTCCAAACAGGTCCGACACACACACACACACACACACACACACACACACACACACACACTTTTAATGGAATTATCAAACTTCTACTTTTTTCTTCTATGGTTAATTCCACAGCTTCAGATTTGTCATATTCATCTGCTGCTCTTTAAAAGTTATTTATTCATATTCTGTGTTTTTAGGGATACATTTAGATCATATCTCAATATAAAGTCCCGTTCAAGAGTCAGAATTTGAAATAAGACTGAATGAATGATCTTTTTGTATCTGGACTGTTTCATTATTTAGTAAGACATTTATCTTTTTAAAATGAAAGTGAAAAATTGTTCTTGGGAGATGCATAACATGTTTTATGAACTTTCATGGATTCATGTCAGAATCACATCTGTCATATGTTCAAACCTCTAAGGTATGTTTACAATCTGTCTAACTGGAAGAAACTGTCTTTTTAAAAAGACCTAAAAGGTTCTCATTTAAAAATAAAATGTCACATTTTACAGACAGTGATCAAACAGGCAACCCAAAAGGACAGTTTTTACTGTGGTCCTTTCAGAGGTTAGTATCAGTCAGGCAGCTGTGAACACAAATAAAACATTTATGGCATAAACTGAATCATTCACTGATAAACAGGTGGATGGATGGAATCAGCATGAAACTTTATTAAAACTGAAAACAGCTGCAAAGAGACTAAAGGTTCAGATGGTCAGCAATGAAAATGATGAAGATGATTTTATCTGAGAGAGACGAAAGGTGATGAGGAGTTCAGATGGTCACCGATGAAAATGATAAAGATGGAGATGACTTTTCTGACAGACAGAAAAAAACATAATTTTCTCTTTATTTTTAATTTATGTTAAAATGTAACCCTTTAAATAACCCTCAAAGCGTTTATTACTCCTGGGTCTCGTCTGTCAGGCTTCGTTCCTTCTTTGTCCTTTTTTTTTTTTTTTTTTTTTTTTTTTAGGAGACCTGCAGACAGAAGTTAAAACACCCACACTTTCCTTCCCTGAGGATTTAATAAAAACCAGAATATTAGGTCTGGTTTTTGAAAGTCAGTATTTTCTACAAGGTAGGGAAGTGGTAATAAGTCTGCCTTTGCCATAAGTAAAAGTCTCTTACAGAAACAAATTGAATAATCCAAAATTAATAATCTCTCAGCTCCTGAAACAGAAATTTGCACTCTCACAGTTCAAATAGAGCAGAAACCAGCTGAAGTCTGAAAGTCAACGGTAAAAGATACATGGTGGCCATTAGCAGAGCGAGCTCCACCAGCCTTCAGTCCCCTTTCAGATTTAGGTCCTGGTGCCTGTTTTTGGTTCTTCAATGCTCTGGTGGAGTGGTTATGGGTGAGTTTAACAGATCAATATAACGATAAACCATGCTGTGCTAACTGATACCATTTGTCATCTGTGCCTCTTACCATCCCGGTAATACAGATTTATAGAGCTACAGCAGAGGCCTTTAAATAGAGCTGTTAACAACATTTAAACCAGTTATTCTGCTGAGTGTTTAAAGTTCATCCTTTTATTATCAGTTAAAAAGGGGAGCAGACTTCTAAACAACAATGCAAGTGCAGGTTTTTCATTGTGTTTCTGTATCTAACCTGAAGGTAGTGCCCAAGAAACATGCCTTAGCGTGCAGAGCATGCTGGGTACGTAGTGATGGGGGACCAGTGTAGCAGCGTCTTATTAACGCTTTTCTGGTCCTGGGTCAAGGTTTCAAGAAACAGCTACACAACATTTCCGACATGCTGGACTTTCCAGTGGGAGGTTTTAAGGTGTGGTCTTGGTTGTTTTTCACTTTGACACACTACATGAGATTAAGCAAAGGCTGATGGATCACAACTCTGGTCTACTAGATCGTGCCAGAACCACAGACATTGCTTGTCTCGCCATGTTGGAAATGCTGACTGAATTAAACATTGGTCAGACTTCCAGAGTCGAGCCTTTGGTCTCCTCGCACATAGCTGCAGTGTTCCTGCCTGTCAGTCAAATCAGTGGTGCATCTGATTTGTCAATCTCATGACCATGGTATCTTCAAAACAGTTGCATTAAAAAAGCCTCTAGTGGACACTTGGGGAACTGCAATTTTTTGCTAGAATCTGGTTCAAAAGTATTCTAACCCTAGCATTGGCCGCCATGACCTTGGTACATAAAACCCAGGCCCTTGTCCCTTTCTTGTTTTAATGCCAGGATCACCTTTTATTGAACTAGTTGGGGGTTTTATTTTAGTTTCTTTTTACTTTGATTTAATTTCATTCATGTTTATGATTTCTTAAATTTCATTTATGTTACTTAAGATTTTAACCTAACCTTCCAGTGTTTCCTCATATTGAATTATAAGATTGATTGATTGATTGATTGATTGATTGCTGAAAAGAAGAGGGATTTCCTCTGAAAGACTGTCCCTCACATGTCAAATTAACACAGTTTGTGATGTGACTTTTGGACCAGAACCTATGTTAGCTGTCGGGTTTCTTGCACTGACTGGATTATCAAACAGACCAGAGACCCGTTTATATTTAGTCACCCTGGTTTAATTTCTAGTTTAGCTCAAACTCAAAGCAGTGGAGTTTCACTCTGACTAACGTTGGTCCTGTTTTCTTCTCTCTTTGATCAGGACATGTCTCAGGCCACGTTGGCAGAGCTGCTCCTCTCCGACCTCCTGCAGGTGGAGAATGAGGCGATGGAGGAGGTGGAGAGCTTCCCTCTGAGTGACGGCAAACTTGAAGACGTCCGTGTGGATCTGGAACGAGCAGCTGGCAGTGAGCCACTGCTCGCCCCCCGAGAGAGAAAGGCCGGCTGCAAGAACTTCTTCTGGAAGACATTCACCTCGTGCTGAGTGTCCGTCCATCTTCCAGATGCTGTACAGACTTTTCTCTGCTGATCCACGCTGAATGTAAACATCATCAAACTATTTTTAATTGTTGTTTGAATAAAATCTGTTTGAGACAAACGCTGGCTGCGTCTGCTGATGGAGAAAGAGGAGAAGAGCAAATGAAAGAGGGTTTATGGAGCTGCTCATTAAAGAGCTTCAACTGTGAAATGTGGAAGAGCTAATGAAGGTTAATAAACACAGAAAACACAGAGGAGTCTGCACGGCAGCCGCAGGAGAGCTTTATCAGGCGTTTCTGCACACAGGCAACACATCAGAAAAATAAATCTGATTCATTTACTCCGAAGGTGAAGAGATGAAGTGGAGGAGCTGAAAAAACAAAAATATGATCAAATATTATTAATTTATCACAGCCGAGTGTGCATTTTAATTTTATACTGCAGCAAAATAAATAAATAAATAAACAATCAGCAAAAGATAATCACAAACTCAAGAAAGATTATTCTTCACATTAAACGGGAACCATCTTTTCAGCCACCTATTTCTTATTTTTAGTGGAGCAAACAAAAGTCAGACAGAGCAGGTAGAGACGTAATATACTTCTACACCTCCAGCAGATCCAGACTCATACAGTGAGTTCAGTGTGGACCTATGGATTAGTGGAACTGTATGCTTTTCTGAACCCTCCTGATCGAACATTAAGCATACTGATCCAACCCTGTAAGGGCAGAGCTGAACACACAGTAATCTTGACCAGAACTGATGTTTGGTGTCAGGTTAGATTGGTGTCTAAGCTAGGCTACAGTTTCTCTAGATAGGACCGACTCTGCCTCATAGTTTAATTCATTTTCAGAGACTCAGACCCAAGAACTCCTCTCAGTTTGAGGGAACACTCTGCAGAGGATATTTTCAGCCCATCTGCAGAAAACTGTAACCTAGCTTGTGTGCAGGTTCTCAGTAAAGAGGCCAAGCTGACCGACATCTACTGCATTGTGGCTAAAACATTTACGAGCTCACACAACCTCACCTCAAAAATACTGAAATATGCCTTTAATGTAGCTTACCTGCAGCTCACATAATTCATGACAACTTATAGCCCATGACAGTTTAGCTTAGACTCCAACACAGAGCTAAGCAGGTGACTTCTGTCTCCAAATATCAGCCCTGGACACAACTTCAAAATAAAAGCATTCTACAAAACAATGAAAGACTCTCCACAGTAAAAAATGAAATGGACCAGGCTTTTGCTTTGAAAAGCAGACAAGCAGCACTGTCCTCCAATTCAATGAAAAAAGTTTCATTTGTTTCTGAAGAATGAATAAAAGGCATGAAGAGAAAAACAGCAGCATGAAAAGTGAGTACAGCATCAAATACAAACAACAGTAGGGAAATAATTAAAGACCAGGTGGCGAAGAAACGAAACTTCCATTGAGAGGGTTTAACATTAAAAATAAAATCAAGGGCCCAAAGGCTTTTTTCAAATCAGGGTGTGATATATAACTCTCCTTACAAAAAAAAAAGTATACCTCAGGAACATTGGATGAACTATACTTAAGGTCAATTCAGTATAATTCCCAAAGTATACTTTGTACACTGATACAAATATACTCTACCAGTGTATTTACAAGTAAACTTCTTGGGACTAAACTGGCCAAATTTAGCTTATTAAAGTACACTTGAAACATACTTGATAGTAAACTTCTTGGTTTGTTATTATTAATAAACTTCTAGTGCCCTTTTTAGTTTATAAAAGTACATTCTGAAGCATTCGTTTATTTTTTTATTTGTTACTTTTTTTGGTGGGGGAGGGGGTGGATTTGCCTTCCCTGGGAGTGGCAATGTGGGAGACAGAGAGAGGAGGGATGACTTGCATAATTCTTGGTACAAGCCAAGTATACTTAACATTAACTTTGTTGAAGGTGGGGTAGGCAGGATTTTGTTAAAGACGCATCTCTTTTTGTGGTGTATATACAAAAAAGTTTTTAATATCAGTCTATAACTATTAGTTATTGATGACATTTGGGAATATAATGATTTCGCTGTGTTCTGTTATGTCTGTGTAGTCAACATTTTAAAATTTTTGAGCAGCCCGCTCTTTCTGACTGTAAACAAAGCCATTCTCCGCCTCCCCCAACCTGATTGGTTGTGAAGCGGACGCTGGCCCTTACTGCTGATTGGTTCTGGAGCAGACGCTGCTCCCCCGTGTTGTTTACCCAAAGCCCAAACAAAGTTAGCACGCTACACTATCAGACAGTAGAAACCAGCCAGAAAGTACGGAAAATTGTCTGAATCCTCCTTTGGCGACGACTGCCAAGACAAGCAATAAAATGAAATAAATACCGGAGACTCTGGCGGAATAACAGGCGCTTTAAAAGGAGGTAGACCAGACAAGAGCTAAAAAGCTGGGTCAACATCAGCATAAACGATGGGGGACACTTCGGGATCTTCCTGACCCTGTAACCTTTCTATTGGACAGGTAAAACACTTTAACAAAGTAAGCCAAGTGTCTGTAACAGAAGTGTTTCTTGTCAAACAGGACCTGCTGCTTGTTGTAGCCCTGCTAAACTGTTAACCTCGGGTCCTGGACTATGTCACTTCATCCTAGTTTTAGAAGTCCTAAAAAACATTGTGTTTACTGGTAGTCTGTTGGCATCTACAGTAGCACCAATGCTTTTTATTTTCACGTTGACTGGGCCCCATTTGTAATTATCTGAAGGATTTATCTGCATTATATCTGAATTTAATTGAAACGATCCAAACGAGCAGGCGCATCTGTTTGTGGAGGAGGAGGGGAAAACTGGTTGGGAGAGGTAGTGTTTACAATCAAGATTTCTCCAAAAAACTGGCACTTCCTCAGATCCTGCCTACCCCACCTTTAAGTATATCTCTGGAAGTGCATAAAAAGTAAACCAAAAGCATACTTAGTTTAAAAACAGTAAACTTGAAGTACACTTCAATATACAGTACAGGCCAAAAGTTTGGACACACCTTCTCAGTCAATGCATTTTCTTTATTCTCATTACTATTTAAATTGTAGATTCTCAGTGAAGGCATCAAAACTATGAATGAACACATGTGGAATCATGTGCTTAAGAAAAAAGTGTGAAATAACTGAAAACATGTTTTATATTTTAGATTCCTCAAAGTAGCCACCCTTTGCTTTTTTGATAGCGCTGCAAACTTTTCTGTTCTCTCAATGAGCTTCATGAGGTAGTCACCTGAAATGGTTTTTACTTCACATGTGTGCCTTGTCAGGGTTACTTCGTGACTGACAGTCAGTCACTAAGTACTTCTGTCATCAAGAGCAAAGGGTGGCTATTTAAAAAAATAGAATATAAAACATGTTTTCAAATATTTCACACTTTTTTTAAAAGTACAAAACTCTGCATGTGTTCATTCATAGTTTTGATGCCTTCAGTGATAATCTACAATGTAAATAGTCATATAAAAAAATAAAGAAAAGACATTGAATGAGAAGGTATTGTCCAAACTTTTGGTCTGTACTGTACTTCTTTTTGGTAAGGGTCTGCCAAATCAGTGCATCCTGGCTGTAGCTCAGGAGGTAGAGCGGTCGTCCAATAACTGGAAGGTTGGCGGTTCGATTCCCCTCTATCCTGAGTCTGTCCGTTGTGTCCTTGGGCAAGACACTTAACCCGTTTCCGTCAGTCTGCCCCAGGGCAGCTGTGACTACTGAGGTAGTTTACCACCACCAAAGTGTGACTGTGTGAGCGAATGAATGATGTATCCAATGTAAAGCGCTTTGAGGGTCTCTGATAAAGCGCTATATGAAATCTGATGCATTATTATTATTATTATTAAACCCACCAGAGGGGGCTGCGCTGTTTTCAATTTCTGAAAAACTTTCTAAATGTTTTCCCTGAAGTCTCAAAAAACAAACTGACCAAGTGACTGAAATCAGTAAAACACAGAAAAAACTGAGTTGTGCAGACATGGCATCTGTGTTTCTTCAGTGGAGCGTCAGGGGGTTTCCAGCTGAGCTGCTGCTAGTTTAAAAATAGACTGGCTCCTCAAAAATTGTCAACAAAAGATTTGGTTAAAAAAAAAAGGGAGCCTGGGTTTCTATAAATGTCTTCAGTGTAGCATCAGCTGAGCTGCTGCTGCAGCTGACTTTAGCTCAGCTTGCCTTATCTCGTATCACCTCCACTCTTTTCCTTGTCATGGCTGAAACCCTTGGCCAGGTCAGAAGATGAAGATATGGAAGCAGAACTGCAATTGAGGAGATAAATCTGTTAGCAGGTGTTGGCTGGAAAGAGTTAGTTTGTTTTTAAGAAGATTTTGAGGAGTTTTCTATCTGTATGAAGCTAAAGAGTTTAAGTTTTCCCTCTATTAGGAGCATTTTTCTGCTTTGGACATGCAGCTGTGGAAACTTGATGCATGAGTGTCTCCTGAGGTCGTATCAGAGCTGAAGATCAAATGGTCAAACAGCTGGAAGGACGCCTGCAGCTCCAAACTCTGCTCCTCACTATAAACTGTTCAAAGCTCTAACACACAAGAAATCAAATGTGTGCAAGCGTGTGGGCATGTGTGCATGTGTGCATGTGTGTGTGTGAGTGCGTCTGTGTCTGTATGGCAGCTGCTGCAGTCAGATTAGCAGCTTCTTTCATTTATTAGCTCTTTGTTAGAAAAAGCTTTCAGGAAGTAAAAACCTTAATGAGAGCTGATGACTGACAGCACACACAAACACACACACACACACACACACACACACACACACACACACACACACACACACACACACACACACACACACACACACATACATCAGAGTTCAGGTCACATGATGACATCTCAGGTCAAAAAGTCCAGATAAATCCCTTCTTTGTTTCTGGTCTGGGTGACCAACAGGTTGACCTTTGACCTTAACAGATTCACAGACCTGCTCTTTCCTTAAGAATTTAAAAATATAAGATAGTCACAACCATTATAATTATAATAACAACAACAATAATACTTGTAATTATAATAATAATTATTATTGTTTTCATTATCTTTATTATTATTATAGCAGCAACAGTAATAATACTAATAATACTAATACTAATACTAATACTAATACTAATACTACTTCTACTACTACTACTAATAAAAATAATAAAAATAATAATAATAATAATAATAATAATAATAATAATAATAATAATAATAATAA